GAATTAGGAAAATTGATTTCTTTTCCTTTTTTTTTTTTTAAAGCTGCCCAAGTTTAATTTATTTCATTTTCTATAATTACTTCAGTTGAAACTTCTCTAACTGAACTTGAATACTGTGCCTTGCCACAAAAATGGCAATTTTATGACAAAAGGTATAGGGGAAAAACCTTGCTTTCAGGTAAGCTTTTGCTGGCTTTTCGAATTCAAAGAGAGAATAATATTTGCTGTGATTTTTCTGTAATCGTAAAAAGATGCTTATGTGAAGTATCCTGGATTTGCAGGAGGGCAGATTAAATTTGCCAGTAAATTTCATTTAAATGTCAAAGTTCTGTGACCTTAAAATTTCAAATAATATCAACATGACAGAAAACTGGTAAGCTGCAATGTTGTCTCTAACCTTGTTTTTCCTGATATTTCTAGAGCCACCCCCTGTCCCTTCTTTATGCTTGACCCCTATGGACAGAGGACTTTGTAGAGCCAAAGAGTTAAGATTTTTCTACAACCCCTCAACTGGAAGATGTCGCCCATTTAGCTACAGTGGTTGTGGTGGGAATGAAAACAATTTCACCTCCAGAAAGTCATGTTTGAGGAGCTGCAAGAAAGGTATGGGGAGTGATACTGCCACAGGCTATTGTAAGAGGTAAATATTACTCAGACTGAACCTCTCTTGCAACTTTTGGTCGTAAGTATTAGCCTGATAAACTGTAATAGTTGGAAATCTTAGAAAAGTGAAGATGAAAATCATAAGATAGACAAAGCTAGAGAGAGAAAAATGGATAGTGACATACAGTGTACAAGAACAGAAATAAGACAGCTTGACATTGGTCAGGTGTAAGAAGACTTTAGGTAAGATGATGTGGGTTTTTTTTTCTTCTTTTTAAATAATATTTCTTGAAAACAGGGCATTTAATTTCTGATAATCTTGGATGTGTTAGTCCTACAGCTTCTGGTCTTACTTTCTTCATTTCACTTTTAGGAGTCAATAAAAAAAAAGGTGAAAGAAGATTAATAAAAATCAAGAAGAAGAGAAAGAAACAGTCAGTAAAGACCATGGGCAAGGAAATCATCCCCGAAATAACACAACTTTGATTTTTATGGAAATGTGAAGTAAACTACTATTCACCTGTGAATGAAAGCCTTAAGTGTACACCACTTAAATACATTTGCTGTAGTGATTTTTTTTATTACATATTATTAAGCTGCTTATATTTTTATTATGTATTCCTCATTCATGTTAATAAACATTACCATTTACTTGGATAAAGGCTCTTAAATTGTAGTTTATCAGAGCTGAAACAGGACAGAGCACATTGTGTGGGTGTATAACTCATAATGATTAAAAAGTAGACAAATTCAGGTTTTCTTTCTTACCCCATTATTCTCTTTTGAAATCTATTTTTGTGCTAAAGAAAGCACAATGCTCGTCAAAGAATAATCACTTGTCAAGCGTGATTGTTACAATCATAGATTAAAAGATGGGTCTATTGCTATAAAGAGGAAATAGACACTGGGTTGCTTTTAATCAGCTTTATTTTAGGTTATGCAAGCTAGATTCAACTCCATCACAGTGCATATAATTACACTATTGTGAAACGAATGTGAGATCAGAACCAGCCAAAAAAAAAACCATGAAGAGACTGTTAAAGCTGTAAATGTGTGAAGCAATGTGACAGATATTTGCAAAGATTTGCAGATACATTTGTTGGGGTCATTGATTTTTATGCCTCTTACTGAACTAGTCATGGCTAGCAAGTTAAGAATTTCCTGAAATACATATTAAATCTTTACAAAAACCAGAACAAATTCCTTTCATAGAACTAAGGACAGTTGCTTTAGAGAAAACACGGTGCTTACACACCAGCTGACTTTGGGGGGATTTTTTTTGGTTGAGTTTTGGTGGGGTTTTTTAAGACAGGAAAGAACAGTTCCTGTCTTTCTCCAAGGCATTTCTCTGATCATAAGTAAATCGTTTAGAATGAGATTTTTTCAAAGTAAAGGGAAAAAAAAAAAAAAGAGGTGGTTGGGTTCCCGTTAAGGTTTTTAGAATCAACTTACTGGCTATGAAACAAAAGATAGCAGCATATTTTCGAAACTCTTCCTTATCTTTTTTGATGTTGTAAATTAGGTATCACGTTTTGTCTTTATGTTTAAAACTACCGAGGATAGTTTGCTGTTTGTGGGAGTTGGTGTGGCAGTAAATAGCTGAATTAGATGTGAGGGCTCAGACGCTACAGCAAGGAGCAAGGACAGCAATGCCAGAATAAGCTGCCTTTGCCTGCATGCCATGAATTGCACGGGTGATTATCTCCAAATGTCTTTTTCTGGTGCCGAAGTCCTTTCAAGACTCTTTTAATCTAGGTTATATTAAGCCTGATTTGAAGAATCCTCATGGAACTGAAATGTACACCGGAAAATATTTATGTAAAGTATTTATGTAAAGAAAATATTTATGTAAAGTCTTGTGACATAAAATGTATGAGCATCACAGACTTACAGTACAGTAACTATATCCATCAGATGCAGTTCTGACAGGAATCGATAAACTCCAGAGGCTGCTGGAAACTAGTAACATCAGTTCTCTACACAGAAATAATTTGGTGTGTTTCAGTTTGGTATCTTCCTGTTCTAGTTCATCTTTTTTACTGACCTTACTCAGGTGCAGTCTGGAAGTCTGTAGGTGTGAGTTGTACCACCCAGGAGCAGAGCAGTAGGTTAAATACTTGGAGCAACTGGGATTTGTCACTGCAGCAAATGGTTTAAACTGCTCCCAGGCTTTTTCACTTGTAACACAGCAACTGCCTTAGTACAGTTCGTGTACGTGGACTCCTGAGGCACGAGTTGCTATAGGTGTTCCACGTATGGGAGAGGCGAGACTGACTGGTGGGCTGAGCATCATCCCCCTGATGCCACAGTTACCTTGCTTCCTCACCCACACTGGCCTGGCTAGGAGTGCAGGTGAGTGCACAAGTGTCTGCATCCTTTTCCTGTATAAATTTTATGATGAAGGCAGTAAAAATATATAATCTTCCATTCTTAGTCATAATAATTTCCCATGGACTGCCAATATTAAGACTAGGTAACTGCTAGACTGTGTGATGTCCCTCAGAAGTGTGATATAGCTGAGGTGCGTATACCTTGGCTTCTCCAGCATCTCAGCGACTAGGGGAGGGCATTCTGGGTCTATGGTTTCAAAATAAAGCAAGCAAGCAAGTTTCTAGTAACACGTGCAACAGCGGCCTTCTGTCACTGCTGTCTGATATTCTATATTCCATGTTAAAATCATTTTAGGGGGCCGGTTAGCTCAGTCAGTTGAACGTGGCGCTAACACCAAGGTCGCGGGTTCAATTCCCGTTTGCTCCCCATGTGTTGCCTGATCTAGTCGAGAGGTGGCGTCCCTGATGGCAGGGAGGGTGGATTAAAATGATCTCTAAGGTCCCTTCCAGCCTAGGCCATTCTGTGATTTTACAAAGAAACGTGCTACTCCCTAGTGTGATTCTGAGGTATTTGATCATGATTCACCTTAAACTGAAGTGTTTTCTAGAGCTATCATGTAAAAGAGAATGAAACTCATTCTTTCACAGCAGGAGCGCAGCATTCAGGTAACTCCAGCATTTATATGAACCTGTGTTGCTGGTGGCAATGTTTCTTTTAAGAGTTTTTTCCTCAGCATCAAGCCCAAATAAAGGTGATGGGGACAGAGATGTTCTCAGGCAGTGTCCTCTGCCCACCTGCGACTGCAGCTCTAAACCTGGTGATGTTTCTGGTTGTGACGGGGCCCCGATCGGAGCCTTGCAATGGGTGGGAGGAAGGGGAAGGGGTTTGACCCACCAAAAACACTAACAACTCACCTGCGACTGCAGCTCTAAACCTGGTGGTGTTTCTGGTTGTGACGGGGCCCTGATCGGAGCTTTGCAGTGGGTGGGAGGAAGGGAAAGGGGTTTGACCCACCAAAAACACTAACAAAGATTTATAAACTCTGTAAGTTTTATTAGATCATAAACTAGAATGATAAACTTTCCAAAATAGAATATTCTGAAGGAGACAATAAAAGCTAGATAGGAAAGAATAGATGTATTTATTTGTACACAGATTGCTTTGTGATGCCTGTGTCATTTAAAGGCAGTGTCTCTCCTTCAGGTTCCTTCTTGGTCCAGCAACTCATCCCTGGCTGCCCGGCTTCAACACCTACAAAATCCACCCTGGAAGTCTGGGAAAAACCTTCCTTTTCTCCCTGCAGAAACCTGGCTGTGGGGCTGCTCTCCACACTTCTGAGTCTCCTGCTTGCTGAGCTCCCCTGCAAACTAACAGGATCTTCTCACTGAGTGTGCTCTGTCGCTGTCTTCTCTTTCTCCAGGCTGTTGTAGCTAGGACAGGACTAACAGGTACTCCCCTATACCCTCCTGCCCTCTGCTTACACTATACTAAAAGAAACTCCGTGTGCATTTGTTTTGTAGTAACAGTGATTAAACAAGTGATCCACTGAGGGATCTCATGTCATTGCTGAGACAGAAGGACTTTATAGTTATGGCATCTCAACAGAACCTCTATTTCAGTTGACTAAGAAAACATCGCAAAGTGATTCATCATACTTAGTACAATGAGAATGAAGGCTGGAATGTTGTAGACTGTATAAAACCCGATCTGATTATAATCAGAGATTTAATCTGGGAGTGTGTGCTCTTCTAGGGGTGTGTACTGGGTTTGGCCATGTACTGCAATCAAGCAGGCCAAGCGGGTGAATCATAGAATCATAGAATCCTAGAATGGC